TGGACTGGTTTTGGGATGCGGTGGGGGGAGGGGAGATTTTGAAACTTGTGAAATCCACATTGATACCATTGGGCTGCAGGGTTCCCAAGCGGAATATGAGTTGCTGTTCCTGCAACCTTCGGGTGGCATCGTTGTGGCACTGCAGGAGGCCCAGGATGGACATGTCGTCTGAGGAATGGGAGGGGGAGTTGAAATGGTTCGCGACTGGGAGGTGCAGTTGTTTGTTGCGAACCGAGCGTAGGTGTTCTGCAAAGCGGTCCCCGAGTCTCCGCTTGGTTTCCCCGATGTAGAGGAAGCCACACCGGGCACAGCGGATGCAGTATACCACATTGGCAGATGTGCAGGTGAACATCTGCTTGATGTGGAAAGTCTTCTTGGGGCCTGGGATGGGGGTGAGGGAGGAGGTGTGGGGGCAGGTGTAGCACTTCCTGCGGTTGCAGGGAAAAGTGCCGGGTGTGGTGGAGCTGGAGGGGAGTGTGGAGCGGACAAGGGAGTCACGGAGAGAGTTGTCCCTCCGGAAAGCAGATAAGGGTGGGGAGGGAAAGATGTCTTTGGTGGTGGGGTCGGATTGCAGATGGCGGAAGTGTCGGAGGATGATGCGTTGGATCCGGAGGTTGGTGGGGTGGTACGTGAGGACGAGGGGGATTCTTTTTTGGTTTTTATTGCGTGGACGGGGTGTGAGGGATGAGGTGCGGGAGATGTGGGAGACACGGTTGAGGGCGTTCTCGACCACCGAGGAGGAGTATTCTAGGTAGCTGTGGGAGTCGGTGGGCTTGAAATGAATATCGGTTTCTAGGTGGTTGCCCGATATGGAGACAGAGAGGTCCAGGAAGGGGAGAGAGGTGTTAGAGATGGTCCAGGTAAACTTAAGGTTGGGGTGGAAGGTGTTAGTGAAGTGGATGAACTGTTCGAGCTCCTCGTGGGAGCACGAGGCGGCGCCGATACAGTCATCAATGTAACGGAGGAAGAGGTGGGGTTTAGGCCGGTGTAGGTACGGAAGAGGGATTGTTCCACGTAACCTACAAAGAGGCAGGCGTAGCTTGGGCTCATGCGGGTACCCATGGCTACCCCCTTTGTCTGTAGGAAGTGGGAGGAATTGAAAGAGAAGTTGTTGAGTGTGAGGACGAGTTCGGCTAAGCGGATGAGGGATATCAGTGGAGGGGGACTGGTCGGGCCTGCGGGACAGGAAGAAGCGGAGGGCCTTAAGGCCATCTGCATGGGGAATGCAGGTGTAGAGGGACTGGACGTCCATGGTAAAGATGAGGTGTTGGGGACCGGGGAATTGGAAGTTCTGGAGGAGGTGGAGGGCGTGGGTGGTGTCACGGACATAGGTAGGGAGTTCCTGGACCAAGGGGGAGAAAATGGAGTCTAGATAGTTGGAGATCAGTTCGGTGGGGCAGGAGCAGGCGGAGACAATGGGTCGACCAAAGAAGAAGCCATTCATCGATTGAACAAAACTCTATGAAGTGTAATCTTAAGATTACCTTCAGATAACCTGTATCAGTTAATGGGTTATAAAGGCCAAAACTGTGGAGGAAATTGGGGAAGAGAAAGTGAAAAGCATGTTCTTATTTGGATATTGAAGATCAGTGTCCACTGATTGGCTGATGGTAGAGTCAAGTCATGGAGTCATCGGGTCATAGAACATGGAAGCAGACCCTTTGGTCCAACCCGTCCACACCGAGCATGTTTCCCAAACTAAACCAGTCCCATTTGCCTGTATTTTGCCCATATCCCTCTAAACCTCTCCAATTCATGAAGCTGTCCAAATCTCTTTTAAATATTGTAATTGTACCCGCAGTTCATTCCATACAAGCATCACCCTCTGTGTGAAAAAGTTGCCCCTCAGGTCCCTTTTAAATCATTTCCCTCTCACCTTAGGCCTGTGACAAAAACCACCTTAAAAGGGAGGACAAAGCAAGTGGATTCAGAATAATAAACCAGACAATTTAAACACATGGTCAACATGTCACCAACAGATTGGATTATCTTTTGTATTTACTGCCTTGTTAATGTGTGTAGTTCATTGTATTTAATGGCTATAAGTGCTGAGGACTATTGTATCCTAGAATCACAAACACTTAAAGTGCAGAAGAGCACTCAACTCATCCTGTATTTTCAAGCACTTTGAAAGAACTATCCAATAGTCTAACTCTCTCCGACTGTTTCACACATAGCACTGAAACTACCCCACCCCGCCACTTTGAGAATGTATTCAATTTCCTTTGGAAAGTTAACATTATCTCTGCCTCCAGTGCTTTTAAGATACTTCCATTAAATTTTCGCTTAACCATTGCTGATCTAAGGAGAACATAGCTTTCTGTACTGCTTATCTTATTGAGATGATTTATAAAATCCATTCACTGCATTTCTGGAAAGTATTATAGTGGAGCAGATATATGCATATCTCAGTGGTGTACAACACAGGAGAAATGCTTAAGCCTTATTGTGCAAAGCTGATGATTCTTTCCCTATCTTCCATTCAGCTGGGTATTATACGTCAATGGCAAGGAGAAAGTCACTGATTGTCCATCAGTAAATGACGGGAAGTGGCACCATATCTCCATCACCTGGAATAGTACCAATGGAGCATGGAGAATTTATATAGATGGGAAATTCTCCGACGGAGGGAAAGGCCTTTCTACTGGAGCCAGTATCCCAGGTGATACGTTTACTATCTCCAATGCAAAACTTTGATTAAACATTTCAACAAAGACAACACTTTCCCAATTCCTATCCAATTTGGAGCTTTTAATGGAAAGAAAATTGTTTTCCAGGAAAACACCTAACTGAATTTGACAGCAGTAGTATTTCACATTCTGAGATCTAGTGGAATCATTGTGCTCAAAGGTTATGGCTGTAAATTGCAAATGTTTCTCAAATGTAATGAATGAAATCCTTAGGCTTAATGGTAATATTGTTTGATCAGCCCATTTGAAAGTGGCCAAATAATGGCAGCACGATGGCTCAGTGGTTAGCACTGCTGCCTCACAATGGCAGAGACCTGGGTTTGATTCCACTCTCGGGCAACCTGACTGTCTGTGTGAAGTTTGCATATTCTCCCCGTGTCTTCACGGGTTTCCTCCCACAGCCTAAAGATGTGCAGGTTAGATGGATTGGCCATGCTAAATTGCCTATTGTATCGAGGGATATGCAGACTAGGTCGATTAGCCATGAGAAATGCAGGGTTGGGGGAGTGGGAAGTCTGGATGGGATGCTCTTTAGGTGTGTTCTTGATGGGCTGAATGTCCTGCTTCCACACAGTAGGGATAATATGATTCTATGAAAGAAAGGGCGAACTTGAGGGAAAAAAAATCAGGGATCTTTTCATCCTGATAGCACAACTGAATTTGTGTTCAAACCAGCCATGTCATAATTTTAGTTTGTTTTACATTAAATGCTGCAACTTAAGCAAAAGTCAGAATTTCAGTATTATGTTTGAGACTGAATTTTCAGACCCTGTGAAGTTTGGAATGGAACAGCAGGTGGGGCCCCAGATCTGGGAGTCCTGCCTTTAAACCAATCTCCTCAGCCTGTTCCCTGCACCAGGCATTTTCTGGGGAGGTGATTTCAGGTCCCCAGTAAAGCCTGTCATACCCATGAACTGGTCAGGTAGGCAAGCTCCTTAAGATCCTTGTTAAGCAGAAATTAATTTTTCTTTTCAGTCAGCCTTCAGTTTTCTGATTGAGAGTTGGGTGGTGGTCAGTTTAATTGAGTGGAGGCTGGCACCTCCTGGCAGGCCTGCCAACCTTGTCTCCTCACCTGTCTGCCATGTAGAGGGACTCCCCGCACATCCCGACTTCCTGAAGCCTCTGTGGTGAAAATTCAGTGCTAGCATCTATCAATAAGGCATTGGAAAAGAAACTGCAGGTGTTTAGTACATTATTGAAGACTCTTGCTGTTACCTAAACCTTTTCATTGATACTTCCAGGGTTCCAATGCAATGTTGTGTCACCAAAATCAATGACATGTCTTGAAATTTCTCCAATAACCTTTATCTCAAATTGACAGGAAGAACTTGGTTCTGTAGCTAAATGATTGCCCGATATATAGAATCACCATATTTTTATGTGCCTGACATTACAAATTCAGGATTTAATAATTGTCCCTTTATTCTGATATAAGTCACCAAAAGCAGCACACTGCTGCTGCAGTCTCTGTTGTCCCATGGGACTTTTGTTTATTGGTAAATTGATGTAACTGAATGGTTTGCTTCGGCAAGTTCAGAAGACAGCTAAGAGTTTATCATTTTGCTGTAGATCTGGCATCACGTCTGGCCAGAATGAGTAGGGATGGCATCAAACAGAAAAAAATTGTGAATGATACAAACTGGTTTTAACTCATCTTGCGTATTTCAAAATGGAGCTCCAGTACAACCATCATATTCATTTCCAAGTATTACTGAGGTGTTTCTTTAACTGGTTATGCCCACTGGGACAGATTTCCTAACTTGAAGGACATTTAGGGAACCAGGTGAATTATTATAATAAGCTGGTGGTTTCATGATCCTTGTAAATGAGACTTGCACTTTATTCCAGGTAATTCATTATTGAATATATTTCTTACATGAATTTCCTATTACCAAATATGTGAATTAAGACATTTACTTTCATCTTCCAGTCTTGGTTTCTATTGTGTTGGTGGCCGTGTTGAGTGTTGGTGGCCGTGTTGAGTGTTGGTGGCCGTGTTGAGTGTTGGTGGCCATATTGAGTGTTGGTGGCCATATTGAGTGTT